GGGGCTTTTGTCGAATCTTTGCTGAGGGTCTGTGTAACGCTGGAGCTATGTTACTCGCTAAAGAACTTCGATGTTAAGTGTACTTACCTTGCTATATACTCGCTGCCAGTTGCTTAAACACCACTCGTGTTTTGGTAAACCACTCGGTTTATGGTAAACGACCACCCCGCTAATGCATGATTACAAAGTACTCAAGGTTACAGCAAGACTAGTATTGCTGTTCGTATCTCTGGCAATGTCAGGCGTTTTAGTTGATACGTTGTTTGGTGGATGCCAAGACCTTGTGCTGCCACGAGAACTAAGGCCCGCAGCATTTGATGTTTAGCATGCATTATCATTTTCTTTCCTCTTCGTGTTATTGTTTCATAATTATATGAAATGCACCAACATGTGCTCTGATGATTGTAATAAGGATTGTTTTTTTTTCTTTGTGAAGTGGATTGGCTCGGATATTACTTACAAAAGTATGGTTTCTGAGTCAACGCCGAGAGTACGTTAGCATAATATCTATATCTAACGGTGCACCTGAAACACTCATTTCATACTTGATGTGTGAGGTTGTGCACAGTTTTTGACAACACGTGGCGAGTCGCGAATCATCATGCTTTCGGAGATAAATGCATGTCCATACAAGTGTGACTACGCTGATGTCACGGCGGGTAAAGGATATAACCGTGAACAACAGTAAATAGATAACATCAATACATGTAGGCAAATGTGCAACAGACAGACTGACAAACAACTTTATTTTCGTTCTGAGAGGCCAGGCAGTGGGTCAATTAAGTAGGTCCCCACACAGCCGTCGGCTAGTCCCATGTCGGAACATAGAGACCATGCTTCTCAGCCCGTTCACGGACCCTCCGGGCAGCCTTAAGAAGGGCGGTTTGTGTGGGGTCTGGGATTGCCGTCATCCAGTCCACTTCCCGATTAAAGTCCTGTAGCTCAGGGCCCTGCCAAAGCATCTGACTCAGAAAACAGTATTCACCGCAATCTGGGTAAAGTGGATTAACTTCCGAATAAAGCATGCCCTGAAGCGTTAAGACCCCATCTGGGACATGCAAAGCATGCTCGCTTTGATCTATGGAGCTCAAAATGAGGAAAGGGAAATGTCTGTCGCTCTCCTCTGTAATGAGATGTTATCTTGCGAAAGGTAACGAGAGGATCACTGCGGAGGAGCTCTCCCGAACTCACGCAAGAGACCAGCCCGTCACGGCATGTGAAACCTCGCGCACGGTAGTGGGCTATTTCGTTTGGGTTCATGGGACCTGGTAGTACGTTTGGCCCCATGTGAGCTGAAAACTAGGCTATGTGATGAAGAATGTCGGAGGGGGGTCTGCCGAGGAGAATCCTGGCTGCATCTCTGGCTATCAATCCTGATGCAAATGCTCTAACGGCTGCTCGGGAGTCGGTGTAGGTCGTTGCGCGTTTTGAGTCCAGCAATTCCAGCGCTACAGCAGTCTGTCCTGCTACACCGACTGAGGAGGTCTTCAGCGAAGCGACCGAGAGGAGTTTTCTCTCATTGACAACTGCCACAGAAAACTTGTTGCCACTAGCGTAGCGCGCTGCATCAACAAATGTTTCCGTTCCGGAGAGCTTCCGTATGAAAGCCGTAGCTCTCGTTAATCTACGAACTTCATTGTATTTGGGATGTCATTTCTTGGAAAAGGGTCAACAGTAAATGTATTCCTTGGGGATGTCATTTCTTGGAAAGGGGTCAACAGTAAATGTATTCCTTGTTCGGTGATCCAGTTGCATGGTTTCTCCCTGATTAAAGATAGGACGAAGGCCTGCCGCATCTAGCAGTTGTCTTCCTGTTTTGAAATTTGATAACTGAATGATTTGGATCGACCTCTGTGCTTCGATCAATTCAGAAGTGGCATTATGCGTTCCCAACTTCATAAAATTTTCAGTGTTAGGCGTGGTTGGGATCCCGAGCACTTTCTTGACACTTTTATGCATGAGCGTGTCCAATTTATCCCTCTCTGTTTTAGTGCGAAAATGTGCATGCACAAAAATGGTACATACAGTCCCCCTGACATTGATTCATTGAGTATGGGCCGCATAAAACATGTACGTGATTAAAAAACATTCCCACTAAAAAAAGCGAAAAATTACATGTATCCGACCCTCTTCCTACGCGGAATGATACCTAGCTGTACATAAATTCGTACCTATCCCTGATCCTGGTACGAATGCGAGAGCATAGCCACTGTATGAACCCAACGTTTCTCAATAAAATTATCTGGGCTTTACCGTCCCAAAAACCATGATGCGATTATGAGAGACGCTTTAGTGGAAGGCTCCAGAAACTTACCAGCTGGGGCTTTTGAAGGTGCACCTAAATCCAAGTACACTGGCCTAAAACATTTTCGCCTCCGTCAAAAATGCACGCACCGCAGCTGGGATTGGGTCCCGCGACCTTCGGATTATCAGCCACAACCATTCGACCACCGCGGCGGGCACCCAACATTTCTTCACGAATCTTTTAGCAGCGCATCGGTCAGGTGACTATGCCTCGGCGCACCGCGTTGGCGTAGGTCCAGCGCGTACGTTTATTGAAACAACCGACCGTGTACAAGCGAGCTTGTTATTGTTATGTATCTTGAAGAGGAAGCTCGGGCGGGTAGACAATCTTTCGGCCAGGTTACGAAACTATCTGCGCGAAAAAGAGCTAATGAATGCCGCACTGGTACGCTACATCTACGTAACGAATCCGACACGTAGAGCACCATCTTCCAATACTTTCTCGCGGGATATTTACGAGTGGTGTAGCTGCAATATCCCCATTACAAAATTTCAACTCAAATCAAGGTATCCCTCCTCTGAGTTAATTTATGCAGCAGGTTACGTTGTGCACGAGATTTCTTCAGTTACGTCACTCACGGAAATGAAAGCAGTTTTTTTCGCTCTTAAAAAGTAAGCACAGCCTTGTGGATGAACAGTGAAAGAAGTAGGTACGCAAGTACCTACAGACTTTACGATTCCTGATACGAACCTCGCGAAAGTATGGTCGTTGTTTTGCACGAGTGTCGACGTGCCAGTAGTGAATGTGTAATTCTCGAAGATTAAAATTCGATGCTCGGAGCACGTGCCTCTTGTTGGTCAGGGTAACTGTGAGGACGAGAGCAATCCGGTAAACAGCCATGCAGACTGTGGTACTCGGTGGCGCCGGTGGAACACTGCAATACATCCTTCTGCAACTCGGTGAGTGGCGGGGCACGTGAGGGCAATGCTAGCAACTAATGGCAAGCAGCATTCCGCCAGCACCCCTAAAAAAGCCCTAACCACACGCTCACATTACAACACGTCTGCGCGTGGCATGCCATCTCCTTGTTTGCGGCATCACCCCCCCCCCCCCTCCCCTCAGAGACACGGCAGGACGCCGACCCTGCATGCCTACACGTTGACGCGTTGTAACGCGTTCGTTTGTCATGGCTTTAGAACTATAGACTGAACGCCGGTGTAGTGGATGCAGTCACCATGCGTCACTACTGCTCTCTCTCACAGTCAGCCTCACCGTCACCCTATACCCTTCAGCATTTAGTCACTCCTAGTATAGCGTTTAATCGCCTAGCATGCAATGTGCATATATTGAATTGAACTGCACTGTTAACAAATGCGCGCACGCATTGACGTTAGAGCATGCAACGTCGCGTTCGGCTACCGTGAATGGAGTGTCTTTCTGTAATATCTTGATATAATCTCGAACAGAGGGTACCCTACACATTAAAGAATCTGTTTCTCTCCTGTACTACATTACGATTAAACCTTGATGTTTGTAGGTACCCCACAGAGATATTTCACTTGTTTGTTGTTTAGGTGTACCACTTTCACAGCCTCACATGTGACGAACGCAAGCGGAAAAAATTTGTTCTCTGCAACCGCCTGCGAACTATGAGTGTGTGGAAACTAAAGATACCGTGTACGAAAATTGAAGATGGCAAAATCACAAACTGATGATATACAACGTTTATTCGTATAGACCTCGGATGCTACATTTAGAGAGCTCTTATTCTCAGGTCGTTCGCAAGCTCAATAAATGTAAACGATAGACGTACATGTGAATGTGCTTGGGTCATTCAAAAGCTTTCATTAAAAAAAATTAGGCTTTTCGACTTCACTGCTAGTTTCGGCGATCAATGTTTGTGACATCAAGGTCCGCATGTTGACATATAATCGTAACGTCAAATTTACGTTTAACTTATAAAGCGGCTTCATGCGCTCACATTTAGACACAGACAACCACCAAAGTTCCCTCGGTATAGTGCGCCTGCCAAAGTGGGCTCTTTTATGATGATCGTAATCATGAGTTACGTTACCAATCGTAATTATTTAATAATAAATATAAATAAATTACATGGTCAATTGTTTGTTGAAACAAGTACCTAAAGTGCTCTGAGGCTATATTGTAGGGCGGCTAACTCAGAAGTGAAAAGGAAGTATATTTAACACACAAAAACAAATGTACACTTATGTATCGGTTTGGAACTTGCCGACATTCAGTTAAACGTTATGCAAAATGCACTTGTTATGTGGAAGCATCACGCTTCGCTTATTAGGTAACCTGATAGGTCCACATTATTATACATAGTTTCTTAGATTTATAATAACGTGTATTTAATCTTGTGTGTCTTCAGTAGTGTTCACGGATATTCAGTGCAGTGTAGTTATGACTTGAAACATGCCATGACAGACCAACTATTTTGCTTCAAAAATTTTTTGTTAAGGGGACTCACTCATTTTAATACTTGAAAGTACACATTTCTCCTGTCAAAATCTTTATAAAAGTAAGATAATAATAAAATGATGATGATGATGATGATGACAATGGTGGTATAGTTCAGCCTGCTTTGACGGGCCAGTAAGCAAACATCCATAACAATGTTTTAGAAAAAAACAAGAAATGTGACCATGCTATGTCTTTATGCTGTCGGTGATGGACCTTATGAGGACCAATTCACGCTAATAGTTAATACAGTGGCTCGTTACACGCAGGAAGTGTTTGTCGGCCATGGATATCGACGAGTCTGTCCCCTGGACGAGCCATCACAGCTGCCATGTATGCTGCTATCTCAGGCCATCCTTGCTCTCGCCTCCAGTGTGCCACTGCGCGACTAATCACGTAGCGGACTTTCAGTGACTGCGGCTGCCTGTATACCTTCTTCGGGAAAGCGTGGTTTCCAAACTCAAGAACAATCCAACGGTAAGTTACCTTCGCTTCTCATGTCGCCTTTGTGCATTGCTTCATAGGTGTTGGCGTCTTTACAGAGCAAAAACACGCAGGTTAAAGCAGTAGCAGCCCACTTTGTTATACCCCGTACATTTTCACAGAATAAATCAGGTAAGGTCAATAGGATTGAAATGCACCTGCTTTCAGCTGATTAGTCCAAGGGGGAGGACGTAACCTGCTAGCTCCGTCAATGGCTTTTTAGCGGACGCCTTCTACGGTACAAGAACGGCACGAGAAAAACAGTGAAATAAAAGTGAGGATAAGGCAGGGAGGTCAAGCAAAGTTATATCACTTGCTTTGCTACCCTACACCAGAGGAAGTGAGAATGAGAAAAAGAGAGAAATAAGAGGAATGGATTTATTGAATGGCTTAGGTTAGGCAAATACAGCTTTGCTGTAAACATCAACACGAGCGAGTTAGTAAATAAGAGGTGATGTCAGAAAAGCAATGAAGAAGTGCTCCATGGTAATGTACTGGCAGGGGAACGCTCGCTAGCAATTAGAAATATCCGTACACTCCTGTCATAGTTTTAACGTAAATTTTGCGAAAAGCTTCATGGGCATAGTACACTCGTTCAAGCAAGGACAAATTAAAAAAAAACCGAAAGGGCATATACGGCCATATAAGACCTTCCTGGACGTTCACCAACCACTTATCGCACAGAGTGTTAGCCAGCGTGATCACCCCTTAATATCTTCTATATCGCACCAATTTTACTGTTGTGTAGTCATCATTCGCCTTGGTACGTGTGGGAAAACTTTCTGAAACGTCAGCTGCGCTGCGTTTATCTATGCGTTTTTTTTTCTATGCCCCCGTTTCGGTAGCTTTACAAAAATTTCACCAGCCACGGTGGAGCAAATGCAGGACTGTTTAGTCTTCGTAAGGTAACTCTTTAGGTTATGTGGGTGATCATTGTCTTGGGTGTACAAGCATGGGCGCTAAATAGAGACGCAAAGAGAACAGAAAAAAGCGCGTGTATTTTCCTTTCAGAAATATTGGGTTTATGTGCAGGACCGAAATAGCTCTTTGAATAAACGAAAAATCGAAAGCTGAAACTTGAGGCGCATGGTGTTTAGCAGTGGGTTGAACCCGACATGACACTGATGCCTTTGCGTAATTATTGCTCACATGTTCACTGATTCTCAAGGTGAGACGCACGTTTGACTTGGATTTACCACAGTGTTTGTTTCACATGCCCCATATTCTGCCTCGTATGATCATGGTCATAGAGGAGTGTATACAATGAGTGGTTAACTGCGTTTCGCAACGCTTCAGTGACAGTGGTTCTTCTTCGTAACGCAGGTTGTCAGGGATGCCGCAACCGAAACCACAGTGCCGCAGGAGAAGCCGAAAGCGGTCGTTCGCTCCGGCGAATGCGCTCCCGCGATGATCACGCTGACGCCAATTGTTATGCCTACGCCGTGTCGCCTATGGGCAGAAAGAAATTAGATGCCTTTTTCCCTTCCTCAAGAACCACGCATTCATTGTTCGGTGCGGCGTATAGTTGCAAGCGTTTGAGATCGTGAAAATATTTATTGCTGCGTGGCGTGGTTTACAGGATCCACCCGCGATCGGCGCTTGCATTCCCGTTCGCGATTTAGCGTGGCTTGGAAGGCTGCCGTATCATTGGTACGCCGTTGGTGCCAGCACTTGACATCCCGGGCCTGTTTTTGTGCCCGGGCTTCCCCGTCGGCCCGGCGTATGAGAGGGGGGGGGGGGGGGGGAGTGGTTATGTTTAGAAGAAGGAAAAGAAAAGAAAAGTGAGCCCCGCATCTGTCTACAACAGGGTGCGACACCTCAGCAGTAGCTTACAAGGGATGGGGGTGAGGAGGGATTAAAAGGATAGGAATAAAGGTGTAGAAAGTGACGACAAATCTAGGGGATAGATAGGAAAGATGGAAACACGGTCACAGGAGTCCGAGGACGGGGCACGACTTGCGAGAGCTCTTGTCGACGTCAGGAGATGGCGTAGAGCCAGTCCAGTCGGTCAGAGCTACACTGTCGTCGGAGGTCGGCGCCAGGAGATGACGTAGGGCGAGCCCAGTCGGCCAGAGCTACGCTGACGCCGGAGATTGCGAGCGCACAACTGGTCGGCACGGAATCGAGCAAGCGAGTTCGCGTATGAGAGATCTCTCACGTTTCCATTGTCGGAGCTTTTCTAGAGTTGTTCGTGGCATACCCATATGGAAGGCTTCAGGAGAAACTGTTGCGCGCACGCTCGGCGCCACGGCTGTGACGGGACGGACGACGTCACTCATAACGCAGCCAATGGCGGGCCTTTTTAGGTACGACGCCGAGAATGACATAACTGATAGGACAGCCAATGGTGACCGCTGGTAACATCGCTGTCGGACGGATTTTCGTTTCTCCAAGCCATATACAGCTTTCGCTGTGAAACAATGCCTGTTGAAGTCAGCTTCAAGTTAACACAAGCATCTTCAAGTTAACACAAGCAAAAAAGAGAGCGAAGGTAGCAATGAATTTAAACTAAATCAAGATGGCTTTTTTTTCTTATGTTGGCACAACTAGCCATGAAATATAACATTATTTTGTTAAACCGCATCGTTAGTAATCTTTTCTCTGAGAAACAAAACAATATTTCAGTTCTGTGAGCTAACATCGTATATCGTATTGTTTCTTGAGGAGAACGAGCATACAAAATTTTCTTTCAACTCACTTCATGTTAACAGTTCGGTATTCACGACATTTACTAAGAGACAAAAAAAGCAACACACAAGTGCAGTCATTCGCAGTTTCGACTGGGACGTCCGCATACATCATAATTAGGTGGAACTGTAAAAATAAGATTATTGCAGCGCCACGCCAGCAACAGCCTAAAGCAAATACCTGGTAAACTTCAGCTCCCTCATTGCCGAGTTCAGCCATCTATTCTTTGAAGCTTATCTCCAGGTTTCAAATCGCACGGGCTGCTACGAAATCGGTCCGCTAGATTTTGGCTCTCAGAAACATAGACGGGACATCGTTTTCGCTCCACATTTGTCTGAAACGAAGCTATCCTTTCTTAACTGCAAGACAGAGTTCCATTTTCTTTAACGTGGAGCTGGTGTTCGTTTACTTTATCCATCCGATAGAAGGGTACGACGAATAAGTAGTGGATTGTAAGTCTGTGAGTGAGAAAAAAAAAAGACTAGACAGTTAGGAAAGAGGCGCAGAGTAGGGTACGGGGGAGGCAGCAGCTGCCTATTGAGCAGATGGTGAAACCCATCGGAGCGCAAAGAAATTCAAATACCTATACCTGCGAAAATCGACGCAGTACATTTTTCGTCAGCTCGCCCTACAGCCGCTCCGTTCTCGAAGGCATGTACGCTTCCTCTCTCCTGGTCCCATCTCTCCCTTCCTCCTCGTCTGTTCTTTTCCAACTTCCCAACCCTTACTACCCTAGCTCCTTCTGTGTCCCCCGTCATACGACTGGGAAGCGAATCTCGCCTCCTCTTTCAGCGCCGATAAGCCAGCGTTCTTTCCACCCCACGTCCATCCTGCGCCACTTTTTTTTTTTTTGCCAGCCTCAGTGCCCCGTAGGAAATTGAGTTTTCCCAACGACAAGTTCATTGAGGCTATCAGGCCGTTGATCCGGTCTGTCTCCGGTTCCCTGGATCTGCACTTCCTTTTACAGTTATGTGCTTCGGGGCATAGCCTCTCTCTCTCGCCCTCTTTTAGCTCCACCCAAGGATGGTCAAGATTTCCCACCGTGGTTCAGCGAACAATGCCGTATCGACCCTCACACATTGTAATCTAAAGCACGCGCAGAATCAGTTCTACCTTTCTGTGGAAAAAAAACTAAACAAGACCTTTCTGCTATCACGCATGATAGCTTTAGCGCTTTTTTACTTACTTTCGCGGGCCTTCGGTGGCCTAGAAACTTTCAAACTTCTCGCTTTTTACTTCTTAGTTCTTTTTTTTTTGTTGACTGAAGCTCGGATTATGCATATCTTACTTCGGGGTGTCATAGCCGCGACCTTTATTGAGAAGCAGGCGCGATCCGATTTCAAATTGAAATCTTTTGACTTCACTACTTCTGGACTGCATCGCCCGGGTGTCACATTTATTATCCTCGCCGCCAGAGTTACTTTAGTGGCTTGCCTCATTTGAAGTGCACTATGAACTGACCATTCGCCCCATTTTCGAGTAGTCACATTTTGTGCCCTTTTTAGCGCACCGAGAAACTGATTATTGCCTTTTGCACAAAAAGAAACTTCAAGATATTTCAAAACTGAAAGCAAAAAGAAGACAAAATTATCGCATCTATTTTACCTCGGCGCATAATCATTTCGGTGAGTTCTCCTTTGTTAAGCCTTTCGCCAACACTGATAAGATATGAAATTACGGAATGGCGTTGCCCGACCAGTGCGCAATATCTTAAATTTCAATCCAGATTATAGAAGCTGACGACTGCCAGCAGCTCTCTTATAATGTTTGCGTTGTTAAAGCACAGAGCCCTAACAAAGACGTTATGTTGCTCAGCTTCTTTTTGCTAGGTTCCCCACGGTAAATTGCGTACAAGAAAAAAAAAAAAACGTTTTGCGTGACACATAGCATAGGTATTGTGAATGTTATTGCAGGCCAAAGGTTCCACTGATGCAAGCCTTTCGTGGCGCCTTCTGGGAGTTTCGGGTTTTCCGATGACAGCACAGCCATCGGGAAACCCAGAAAGTTTATGATGGCTGGTGCCGCGCAAGTTCTCCGCAAAGGCATTCTACGCTCTATAGGCATTCCGTCGTTGACGAATTTTCTTCTAGCCGATCAATAACCGCAGGCTTGAGAGCTGCGAAAAGTCCTACAGTCATCGACTGCACGTGCGTTTAGAATGCACATCCCTTCGCACACAATACGTGTTTCCACAAATTTGTGTTCGCAGTTTTAGTGCAGCGTGTGCTACCATGCTATATGCTTTTGGAGGCACTGCAGTGCATGGGCAGAGATGACGCAAAAATAATTCCTGTCTCCACTCGTAC